ATTTCGAATTTGCCTTCTTATTTGAAATCAGCAATGACTTCGTTGCCAACCTAATACTTCAGGAAATCAGACACCCCTTCAGAACAAATGCGCTCACTGGCCCTTGAGACAATCTCCTCCAGAGCAAATGCGCTCACTGGTCCTTGAGACAATCAGGTCAACTATCCTGCAGATCAATGGCTCCAAGTCTTCACTGCGGGTCATATATAAGTCTGCACTGTTGAGGCTGCAAACTTACTGGCCCTTGAGACAATCAATGTTAACTATACTGGAGATGGGTCAACTATCCTGCAGATCAATGGCTCCAAGTCTTCACTGCGGGTCATATATAAATTGAGACAATCAATGTCAACTATTCTGCAGATCAATGGCTGAAGTCTTCACTGATGGGTCATACATAGAAAACCAAGCAAAGGTGCAGGTGAGTCATACATAGAAAATCAAGCAAACATTGGTGCAGGTGTCCGAACTCTTCTCTTTTTACGCAGCAGTGGGACACACTAGATCCGCATTCGAAGGAGAAATAGAGGTCATTAGGACAGCACTATGCCTATTATGTTGCCTGGATTAGAAATTCACCAAAGCCGTAATACTTTCAGACTTACAGTCAACAATAAACTCAATTGGAAACAGAGAGCCACCCAAAACAGCTGAGATATACGAATGTAAAAGGCTCTATCAGCTGCTGAGAGAGAAAAACAAAACAGTGGTCCTACAATGGATTCCTGGTCACTGTGGCATTAAAGGCAATGAGATTGCTGACACACTTGCTAAGAAGGGGACAACGATTTTGCAATGCATGGACCGGCAGATGTCTTTCCACACAATGAAGGCGTTAATCAGAAGAGAATTCAAGACCTCAAGGTGCAACGAACTTAAAGCTCGAACAAAGGAGAAACAGTGGACAGTGGCACTCTCCGACATACCCGACTGGCCAAGAATCGAAGCCGTTGCTGGGTTCAGACTACGTACCGGACACGATTGCTTGGAAAAACACCTTCACAGATTGGGAGTATACACTCAACCCACATGCCCTCTATGTAACCTACATGAGGAAATGGAGAAGACCCACCTGATTCGGTGTCCAGTCTTAAAGACATCAACGGAAAACCAGAGATACTGGGAAGCAAGAAGACAGCTAANCCCCCCCCCCACCCTTGGGGGAAGCTGAAGTCAAAGATTAAGGGCTAGTGAAAAATATCATAAAGCCTGTCATTAGAGAAAAAAAATTTTCGTTACACTTGGAAAAACTCTACAATTTATTGAAATTTGGCGGATCAGCAATGAAGATTAGTTGTGGAGAGCTATTTAAAAGTCCTCTCAACTATCCTCTCTGGCAAAAGTCCTCAGTTTAAAATTGTCTCCGAAATTAGCTACAGTAAAGAGGAAACAGAGAATGTGGAATGAATAGCGTTTATTACGGCTAACGGCAACTGGCGCAGGCTTAGCCATTAAAATGGGATTAGTGCTGAGCAATTTTGTAGTAATCATTGATTACCGACTGGTAGTGAGACCACTGCGCTCACGACGCACATCCTCCTCTACGCGATCACAGGCATGGCCGCGCCTCTGAGCACAACTGTGATGCGCTTGTTCAGCCCTGCCAGTAACATACCTTCCACAGATTTTACCATGTTTTCTTGGAATGATGTGAAAGGAAACTTTTTATTTTCGATCATTGTAATTTGCAAAGCGTCCCAGCAAATAACAATGTATCCCACTTCCTGAGACTTTTTTTTCAAATTCGCTGACAAAAAATATATAGCACATATTACATGAAAGACAGGATTGACGCCTTGAAAATCTGCTTGACTCGGACTTTAAAGTTCGTCTATTTTTTCTTCACTACGAAAACGATGCATATAGCGAGAATGTAACGCAGCTTTGAACAGCGTTTATTAGAAGTGGAACAGAGATGCTGAGTGTATGTCAGAGAGTTGAAAAGAACAGATAGAAGAAAACTGAGACCTATCAACGCTCACTTATAGACCAATACTTAAGGACATACCCTGGTTCGGTAAGAATATTTGAACTTATCGCAGGCAGTGAGTCTTCCAAGTGCCTCTGTGGCCTTAGTAACAGTCCTGATGTCAAAGTCATTAGGTCATGCAGATAAAGTTGCTCATAATTTGTGTCAAAAGTTGACAACATTGATATCGTTCTTATTAAAAATGGAATTTGAGGACTTTTTTGCCTCCAAAATTTGTCCTTTATTCAGGAATGTGGAACAATGAGTATCAACCCTTTAGGAATATAACAATTCACCTACTCGGTGACCCTATTTTCTGACGTCTTCCTTTCTTCTTCATCGTACTAATTTTTTGGCAAAATTTCCACTTGAATTCAAAATGATTTTATATTACATTTAACCTTGTGTCTGTCCTTTACATCTTTGAAACACTCTTCTGCCTCCTCCTCTCTCGATTTTTTTCACTTTGATGTTCCTCCCCCCCAATGGGCCAATGGAAACCATCAAAACGCCCACCATTTGATATTAATAAATAAATATTACGTTTAACCTAGAAGTGCCAGACTCGTCCACATATTCAATTTATCAACTAATTACTAACATACTACTAAACAGACGTACTCTTTATTTTCGTCTTATTAGGCTGCTATATAAAGTTCGAGATACCTTCCAACTGCGCATTGACTCATTCTTTAAAATTAGATTAATGTGATACGGGTTCATGGTAATTAATCTTACGGCAGGAATTGTGACATAGTGAATACTAGTAATAGAAAATTTTTAAGAATTTGCTTTTGTATGCCATGGTAGGGAACTATCTCCATTTAACATAGATGAAATAACAGTTAAAGGGCAGGAATTGCTAGATAAGTTAGTTGTACATAAAGATTTTAGATCCTTCAAAATTACCTTCGCTTGTAGCAACATTTTAATCATATTTTATTTATGGCACTCGGTATACACCGCGAAGACACGCGGGTATTTGAGGTCATTTATTTATTTAGCTCCGGAGGCAACACCGCTTAACTAAAGACAATTTATTTGCACTTTTATTATCGATGTGGGGTGCGCGATAGACTTACCTTCTCGTGGTGCACCCTGGACAACGTATTTTCTTACGGCAAAAAAGTCTATCACTCGGCATTCGTTTTTGACTTCGATTTATTATGATTGGCTTTAAAAAAGGCTATAAGAAAAATCGCCCTCGTCAGGGCGAATCACAACGTCTTCAGATCCTCCAGTGGAATGCTAGAGGAATGTCTCCGGACAAAAAGATCCAAATACAGAAAATCCTACAAACCTATGATGTAGACATTTTCAAAATTATGGAAGCTAACATTTCGGATGACAAACTGAAGTATTACCAATTCCCAGGTTACACACTATACAATCTACCCAAATACCGGCAAGTTGCAAGTGAAATTCTAACTGGAGTAAAAGAAGGCCTCACCTCACACTACGGCCTAATCAAGAGTATGAGCTCGACACAAGACAAATGTGAAATAATCAGATTAAATGTTTGAAAATGTCAAAACCACTTCAAGATATATGCAGTCTATAATCCACCTCAGAATTGTCCCAACTTTGACTTTCTGAACATCTCACATAAAACTATAGTATTAGGAGACTTCAACGCCCACTCCACCAGATGGGGCTACAAGGATACAAATATAGCTGGAAAGGAAATCGAAGACACGCTAAACAGCAACCCTCTGGAACTTATTTACAGCAATGACGATCCGGCTACATATTTGCACTACAATGGAACCAGAACAACTCCTGACTTACTCCTGGCTTCATCGAGCACACACGCCGAAAAATAATTGACGATCCTGGTTCTGGTCACAAACCAGTCATTGCTAGTATTACCATCGGCAGCAAAAGCATGTCAAGGAAAGTGCCAACTAAGCTATCATGGAACTTCAAGAAGGCTGACTGGCCTAGATTCACAAACCTTTTGGAGAATGAACTTCACACAAGTCCCCCTCAACTTCAACCAACATCCTGACAAACTTTGCAATGATATCACGAATATTATGATCAGACGTGCAAAGAAAACTATTCCCCGAGGCAAGACTAAACACTATCGAGTATTTTGGTCAAAATACCTTGAGGAACTGAGAAGAAAGCGGATCGCCCTTCGCAACACTGCTGATCAGACTGGAAGAACGGAAGACGTACAAGCCTGGAGACGACAAACAGCTGTCCTAAGGCAAGCCATCTTACAAGCTAAACGCACTTCTTTCGACAAGTTCATCTCAAGTATCAACTACCAAAGTGATAGCCAACGCACTTTCAAATTTCTGAGAAACCTNTTGGTACAGACAGTCACGGGCATCAAGTGCTTACTTTATGCAGATGATCTTGTTATATGGTATTCCGCCCCTAAGAAAAACGCTCAGGAGAGGACAGAAAGTGCTCTTCATAGTGCACTTAAACTACTAGCAAACTGGTGCGACAACAATGGAATGGTAATTAACACCGCAAAAACTGCATTCCAAACTTTTTCTTTGGCCCATCACAGCATAAACCCGCTTCTAAGGTACAAGGATACTACCCTAGAAAAAACCAATGAGTTCGCCTATCTCGGAATGACGTTTGACACAAAGCTAACGTGGAAAAGTCACATTGCTAAAATAGCAGAACGAGTCTCCAATAGACTGAATGTCCTGAAGCATCTTGTTGGTAGCGTATGGGGCTGTGCGCGCTCAACTCTAAACACCACTTACAAGATGTTTATTCACCCCTCGAGAAGGCACACAACCAAGCATTACGACTAATTACTGGAGGGATAAAATCAACACCCATTGATGCAATGCTCCTAGTTACAGGAAGCACCACAATAGGTTCCCTTATCAAAGAAAAGGCCTTGATCCTGTATGAGAAGATACTGCGCATTCCCATGGACAAGTTCTTCAGCACCTATGAGAATAGACCAAGACATCTGAAAACGCCATCTGGTCTAATACAGAAAGCCATAGAACTGAAGAAAGCGTTACAAATCGATGGTAAACCAAATAGCCTCTCTCTCCCCTGAGAGAGAAAAACAAAACAGTGGTCTTACAATGGATTCATGGTCACTGTGGCATTAAAGGCAATGAGATTGCTGACACACTTGCTAAGAAGGGGACAACGATTTTGCAATGCATGGACCGGCAGATGTCTTTCCACACTATGAAGGCCTTAATCAGGAGAGAATTCCAGAACCCAAGGCTCAACGAACTCAAAGCTCGAACAAAGGAGAAACAGTGGACAGTGGCACTCTCCAACATACCCGACTGGCCAAGAATCGAAGCCGTTGCTGGGTTCAGACTACGTACCGGACACGATTGCTTGGAAAAACACCTTCACAGATTGGGAGTATACACTCAACCCACATGCCCTCTATGTAACCTACATGAGGAAATGGAGAAGACCCACCTGATTCGGTGTCCAGCTCTAAAGACAAGGACGGAAAGCCAAAGATACTGGGAAGCAAGAAGACTGCTAATGAACTGCTATTAATTAACTGCTATAAATGTACCCCCCCCCCCTTCTTGGGGGGAGCTGAAGTCAAAGATTAAGGGCTAATGATAAATATCACAAAGCCTGCCATTTGAAATAAATAAATATTATCGATGCAAATCATTGTGTTCCAATATAATTTTTTTACTAAACTTGAAATTTGCATGTAAATTTATTGTTAATGGAGCGCTTCCTATTAAGTGAGTTTGTTTAAAAGTAGGTATTAAAAGAACCGTGCTAATTTGGTCATTGTACACAGAGAGCAAATTACCAATATGTGGAATGACATAAAGGATTCAGTAACACAAGTGTATCGCTCGATGATGACAAAAAACCCTGATTAAATTGAGATATTCTAAAAATGCCTTTTCTTTAAATTATTAGGCAAGTCAGACTTTGAATTTGTGATCAATAACCCGAGGACTTGAGTTATGTCACTATAATTGTTTCAAATTCTCACACGAAGTAAAAATAACAATTTGATCCGTGGGTGATTAGGTAAGTATTTTTAAATCAGGTTCCACCTTCCACCACAGAGAATTCAAATCGGCATCACTTATGCTTAAGCGTCGTTCATGTCGGAACCTTGAGAGATAGCAAACAGCGTTTCCATTTTTCCTTTTGAAAAAGGAGGATTATTTGAAAACGTGAATATGATGTTATTTCATTGAGCCACGTATTTTGATGCTTTTTGGTATTTGCTGTAAATATTTTATTTATTTATATCAAATGGCAGCGTTTTGGTAGTTATAATTAGCCCTTTGGTTGATTTCAGGCTTCATTGAGGGGAAGGAAAAACAAAGTGAAGAAATCGGGAGTGGGGGTGGGATAGAAGAGTGTTTCGCGGATATAAAAGAGACAGAAAGATACAAAGGCAGAGAAAAGGTAAGATGAGTACAGTGAAAGTGGTCGAATATGACATACAGTGGGGTCATGGTAGTTTGCAGTCAGAAGTCAATTGCCGGTTAATACACTTTTTTTGCCGTAAGAGTATACGGTGCCCAGGGTGAACCACGTAGAGGTATGTCTATCCCACACCACTTACTGTAAATATAAGCTCAGTCTTCCATCCAATTACCTTATTCTTATAATAAATCCTCTTAACCCACGCATTCGCTTGAGGAAAACGCGGATTAAAGACATCAATTGGCCTCGATTTGTGCTCGATAATGTCTATGGCAAGATCTCCTAGCTTTTAATGTCTCCCGAGATTAGTTACCCTACCTTAACAGTACAGAGGAAACAGACGCATAGCGAAGAACATGTTTGCTTGAGTTGTGCAATTTTTCAGACAGGGAGCTTAGTCATCATATACAATTTGGGCCGCATTGACCATGTCATGGCCTTTGATTGGTGATTGGCTGAGAAATGCAAACAGTCGTGACCTCATCTGCCTTCCAGCTTGATTAGCATCACATCCTCAAGTTTCAGAATGGTCGAACGTGCATGGACTTCTTTCCTTCAGCCATGCTAGTGTTGTGTTCCCCACAGGGATATCACCAAGGGGAGGAAATTGAATACTATTCTATTGCAAGTTCTTAAAATCCACAAAATGAAATAGGCTCTGTTAGGCACCAGAGTCATTGAAAGGGACTAAATGGCAACTTTTTTAAAAAAGAATGGTTAAAGTATAAATTTAAAAAGACTGTTAACTGGTTGCGAAATTTCATAAATAACTGTTTATTTTTATCAAATGGCAGGCGTTGTGAAAGTTATCATTAGCCCTTTAGTTGACTTCAGGCTTCACAAAGGAGAAGCAACATCAAAGTGAAAAAAGTCGAGAGGGGAAGGAACAGAAGAACTTCAAAGAAGAAGTTTGAAAAGGTAGGAAAAAGGTGGGGTGAGTACTGTGGAAGTAATCGAGTATGACATACAGTGGGGTGATGTTAGTTTGTAGTCAGAAGCCAACTGCCAGTTAATAGACTTTTTTGCCGTATGAGTATACGTTGCCCAGGGAGCACCACGAGGAGGTAAGTCTATCGCACACCCCAAAGGCGGACGCTGTGAAGGACGGGAAGCATTTCGTAAATAATAAGCATAAATAAATAGCACTATTCTTAAACACCTTTGCATTAGTACTACAATAGTCTTTTTTTGCACTAGTAGTTTCAACTTACAAAGACAACAGATTGATCGACTATTCGAATATCTTCCTAAAAAATGAAGATGTGTTCTCCCCTAAAACGGGGCCAATGACCGTAATAAGATAGGGCCCAGAAGTCGTCAAGTTGTTCGTAAAATTTCCTTGGAATTTATTGTCACGGAGTAACGATATCTGGGAAATACCAATGCGGTGCGCATTAATTGGTTCTATTCGAGTTAATTTAATATCCAGTCCAAATAATGAATCCGAGAAAATAATTTCCTAAAATTAATAAGACCAAATTCGATCATTTGAAAAATTATTCAATGAAATATAAATTATTATTATTATTATTATTGCGTAATTGAAACTTGTCTACTTCTTGCTATAAGGAAAGGGAGAGGCGGACAAGTCCATTGATCATCATCATATTCAATTTCCTAATACCGTTAATTTTCTCAATTTTTACACCATTACATATAATAGAAGCCAAACCAAACGCATCGCAAGTTCTATTCCAACTAAACAGTCACTATATTGATGGGACAATTAACAATGGCTCGACATGTCTACTTTGGACAAAACACAAATAAGTTAATTTTCCACAAAACAGCAGAAAATTGATCTTTCATCGACTTACATGAGATCCTTTAAATTATAACACATTGCCAAATTTTACTGATAGTATATTTTGAACCAACATCAAATGAGGTAGGAAATTTCTCGAGTACCTGAGCAATTACTTCTTTCAGGTTTTACTTACTGGTCTAGAAAAAATTTCGAATTTTGTTTTTTGCATATCTTCATAGTTTAACTATTCAAGAATATGTCTACGAGAGGATTTTCCAAAATTCAAATCATTTTCGGAGATATAAGTATTTTCCTGATCAGGCATTCAAATCGGTTGGGCGGCAACTAATCGAACAATAGACATAATGGATCCTGCCGACTACCTGAATCTATATTTCTTAGTGGGGTGCGCGATAGACTTACCTCCTCGTGGTGCACCCTGGACAACGTATTTTCTTACGGCAAAAAAGTCTATCAATCGGCATACGTTTTTGGCCTATTTGGGGTGTGCGATAGACTTACCTCCACGCGGTGCACCCTGGGCAACGTATACTCATACGGCAAAAAGGTCTATTAACTGGCAGTTGACTTCTGACTTCAAACTACCATCACCTCACTTTATGTCATATTCGACTACTACCACAGTACTCACATCATCTTTTTTCTACCTTCGTGTATGTCTCTTTTACGTCTCTGAAACACTGTTCTGTTCCCCCAACCAACTCGACTTTTTTCACTTTGGTATTCCATCCCCTCTGTGAAGCCTGAAGTCAACTAAAGGGCTAATGATAACTGTCAAAACGCCTGCCATTTGATATAAATAAATAAATATTTCTTAGTAAGTTCTTTTGTTCCGTTATATCTATATCTATATCTATATATATATATATTTATTTATATATTTATATTTATATATTTCACGGCAATTTACGAGTGCATCAGCAGCGAAATTGAGGAAATCAAATGAAGAAGTAATTATGGATAATCATTACGGCTACTGTTTTTGGAGTTTTTCACGCTCTTTCAACAATTTCTTTGTTTTTTTCGTGTACTATATGCAACAACGAGATTATATTTTTAGGAACGGCTCAACGCGGACTCGGGTTCAAAATTGCATTACAATGCAGTTGCAATAGTCTACGATACATTCCATCAGGTCCATTCGTTGACAAATCCTTCAAATTTTATCATCAGAAGAGTTATTGATTCAATGTGTGGGTTAAGAAACTCAAAATAATAATGAGTCTCTAAGCTCGCTGATATGGACTTTCGCTCCAAAGCATATCCATTCCGGATTTCAGATAATTGAAATTGCAAAATTTATTGCTGTGTGTATTTTTAATGAAGGCTTTATACCGATATTGAAGATGATGACGAATATGGGAGTGAAAAGTGGTCCAGAAGCGCATGCATTTGCTATCAGACGAGACAACACTCGGATTGACCGCTCCGAGATACGAGCATCTAGCGCATCAAAGGAGGCCAGAACTGCTCGAATAGAAAACAGAGACGCCGAAAATAGTTTTTTCGGAGTCGAGGAAGGTCCGATGTATGCAGCAGGAATGACAGATTGAATAAATGTAAGTTAACAATATAATTTTATGACTTAGACTGCAAAAAATTTTACTTGAAACTTTAAACGTGTTTTTCTCAAAACTGTTTTTTTGAATCTGATACCCACGATTTCTCAGATTCTGCCAACCCGATTTACTTGAAATTTTAAGAGTCTTCTTAAGGAACTTGGCTATGTCCGGAACTACGGCCATCCCCAAATTTTACTTTTTACAATTTTTAAAAAAATCGAAGAATGTTCAAATTACTGGTACAAAAATGTTTTTTTTCTTTAGACAGTCGCCATTTTGTAAAAAAATATTTCTATAACTTTTCCGTAGTTCTGGACATAGCGACATTACTGTAGATTGATAATCTTTTTTATTTTTTGATTTCAGATTGTTTGGAGAGTTGAAATCGTGGGTATGGTCATGCACCATATTTTTGCGACGCCCCACTCCATCAGCTAACTAACGGAATTTTAAATTTGTTTATTTTTTTCTTATGCTTCTAAGGTGAATAAATAATGTATGGAACAATTGATAATAAAAATATTGCTTGTTTTTTTACAGCACTTCAAAAATGACCTTAAATTCATGTCTCCAGACCAGAATACTCCCTTAAGCATCGCCACTGAAGAATATCAGCACAAAATCGCTGCACGGAAGTGCTCGAAGCCAGTTAACGGTACAAAGGCCATTTAATGGCATTAGCCCATTAATTTTGACACGATATTACTTTTCTCTCTCCCATATCAGAAAATTCCAAAAAGCAGTGCTTTGATTACTCTCTCTCTCTCGTTCCGATTACAAGGTCGACCGGTTAAGGGGTTAGGGATCATAGCCATCCAAATGATACCCTCCCCCCGCCTCCAGACATTTATCTAACATCATAACACTCAAATCAAACTGATTTGTGTACATTCAACCCAGTGGTCTAAAGCCCATAACACCTTTATTACCTCCATCATTTAATCGATAATGAAAGGAACAAAAGCACAAATAAATAGAGAATGCATTTAGTTGATTCCATAAAGTTCTTCACACCAAAAGTCTTCGTATCAATTGAAAGAGGAGGGTAGAGGGAGGCAGGAAGAGGAGTACAGGTTAACTGAAGCAACAGGGCAAGCAGGAAGTCAGCCAGCGCGAAAAGTATAGGGGTCAGTGGAAGATCACTTCGTCCCTTCTCCTTTCAATTCACTTTTCGCAGCACTGTTTAGCACCTGCAACCGTAATACTCATAGAAAGGGGTATAAAAATAGTGGGTTTTGCGTGTTTCGATGCAGATACGTCTGTGATATAGGGGAAGACGATATAGGAAAACAACAAACGTGGAACTGAGTGAGAGGGGGGGGAGGAGCGGGGTAGGATTTTCAAATAGATGGAAGGTCTGATATCGCGAGGACACAACCATAAGGAGAAGGGGAGTGTTCGCTTCAAAACCCCTTAGGGTTAGAGGAAGACAGGAGACGAGGAAGTGAGAATCAACAGAAGCCCTCTGGGAAGTAGTCGAATTCGCCGAAGAAATTCTGATCTCTGCTAGAAAGTGGAGCCCGATCACGAGCAGGTGTAAGGCAGGGCCGTTCGCGGGTGAACTCTTCGTCAAAGTTGGAGACGTCCTCTGCGGTAGACTTTAAAAAACGGCAATTAGTTAGAGCAGCTTCAAGAAATGTCCACCCAATTCTGCTAAGTCATTTTTGCAAACTTAAGAGTGATCTACACTCTACTTCATGGATAATAGTGATGAACCATATAGGCGGCAGAAATTATTCTTCAATGCCTTTCTAGCACATTTTACCTCTTACTTTGTTGTGTCAAATGCCATAGAACCTGAAGATAGCACAATTTTACTAGGCCATCTTAAGATAGTAACCTTCACAACAATCCCCAAATCTTAAACAATAACAGTGATCTAAGATACACTCGCTTTAGAGATTTATGGAACATATGCAATGGCTTGTAGGTCGATTCGTTCAAATTGCTAGAATGATTTCCAAAGATCCCTCATTACACGCGAAGTCAAAGACCGGTGATCTCCAAGACAGACCGCTGTGATACCAAAAATGGTATGTGTAAAAACAACAAATTTAAAAGTACAATGCAACTCACGATTTTAGGAACAAAAGGCGGTTTGATTTTCCTTTGCAGTAGGTCATCAAAGTTGATGCATTTAAAGAACAGTTGCTCCTTCACTTCGGCAGCATCCTTTGCTGAGGCACCCAATCGAAGAGAGACATTTCGTCGAAGCAGACGACGCATAATGAGTGTCGCCTCCATACCAAGCCTTACAGGATAGCGAACCTCGCGGTTCGTTATGCTCTCAAAGATTTCATCCTCTGAATTGCCAGGGAAAGGACACTAGAGTTGAGAAAATATTACTACTAATATCTTGTAAATAGGCAACCTAACGGTGGTTACGACATGACAAAGGATAGCACGACTAATAGTAGAAGTCAGTCGACTTACTTCCCCGACGAGCATTTCGTAGATCAGAACACCTAGGCCCCACCAATCGACAGCACGAGTATAGGAAGGTTCTAGAAGGACTTCTGGAGCAAGGAATTCGGGAGTGCCACAGAAGGTTCCCGTCTTGTCATCGGGACCCATGCCCTCTTTACAGAGGCCGAAATCCGCCAACTTCACATAGCCTTCTGTGTCCATTAGGAGATTATCCAACTTCAAATCACTGAAAATTCGAAGTAGTAGCAGGAAATTATAGATAGCCTAGATTGGTCATAATCAATTTTCCGACCTACCAATCAAACAAAATGCGAGTACATTTGGTGACCAGTTCAAATATTACTTGACGATAAACAAATATATGGCAATTTTTGAGTTGTATAATGAAACACTAGCACTGAGGCATACATTGAGCATTACAAGGTAATAGATTCATCAAGTGATGAGTTTATCAGAGACTCCTGAAAGGAAGTCTTTATCAACATTCACCTTAAGCTGAGGAGTAACACTGAGAGCCCATAAGTCAAGAAATGTGCATTCTTTGTCAGCCAAAAACAACAAATATAGCCTAGTGTAGTCGATCCAGCACCGACTAATGGCTCCTCATGCATTCATAATTATTCCCCAAGCCACCGACAAGATTGAACTTTCTGAACATTTTAAAAACACACAATCAAAAAATGCCTATAGTTAATGCTGTGAATTAGTGGCCTGACAGAAGGCAGACACTGAGGATCGGGGGCTCAAAGACACACAACTATTGGTTGATATTTATGCAAATTGGACAGTGCGTTGGAGTTTCCTACACAAGGTACCTGCTTTTCTCGCTCGTAGTGAACTTTGAATCACACCGCGCGCAGGAAATGACAAAAAATGACGCTTTAGGCGCAGTGTGACAACTTCCAAAGACGGTTCTTTGAGGGAAAAAATTAATTAAACATGGAATGAAAGTGCAAATTAGACATGAACGTAGTGATTGGAATACACCGAGCCGAAATTCGAGGCTGACAGAGGCCATACATTCGTTACAAATGTGCTAACTGCAATCTTGAAACAATCACAACAGAATGAACGCCTTAACTTAAAATTCTGCTTAAAATTTCATTAAATTTTCCTAATGGGATTTCAGTTGGTACTTCAGCTGAAAATTTAATTTCGTCTCCCCCCCCCCCCCCCCCCCCCC